ATATTGTAGTAATACAATGATACAATGCCATTGTATTACAGAATGTGTACTAATTTACATGTTTTCATGTTCCCTTCATTTAAAGGTGAGAGCAATGAAAGATTATCTGTAATGTAGATATTCTTTCACAAGTTTGCATCAGTACTGGATCTGCTTAACTAACAGTAGTACACACGTGCGCACCACCTGTCGAGTAGGCTATTCACAGCTGGAACAGAGCCATGACCTGCATACAAAGTGAAACTACTCCCCTTCGTAATTCGTGGAATACGCTCTGTTCTGCGAAAACAGGGCGTCGGTGTTTTCTGTAAACGTAAATCTAGGTCAATAAATAGCTTTCCCAGTATTAGCGTAAAACGAAAGCAAAACAAAAGATATTCAGAATGCCAGTGTTTTACGATAGGAATTATATCATCTGTCTTTACCATTCAAACATGACATATATATTTTAACAGCAATCGCTTGCAATCGGCGGAAGTAAGTACTGTTTTGACACTAATAAGACACGCAATGAAGATTAATTAATCATTGTCACAGAAAACGTTCCTATTTAACGGTGATTATATGTTAGTGTTTTTCGCGGTAAAAGTATTGGCTAAAATGTGATGAAATTAATTGCAGCTTCTATATAAAAATTGTTGCTCATGCGCATGTTTATCATTGAGCTAATTTACGTAAAAATACTACTGCGCTAAAATTTGATTGTGCCAAATTAAGTACGTTTGCATTATCACACTCGCTACAAAGATTACTTATATAAAGATTTTTTATAAACAGGCGCAAACGGAAATCGATAAAATCTATATCGTATATAAAAAATAACGATATAGCATACAGAAAATAACCGATTTGCATTTAAATCAACTTGGAAATGAAAAAAATCACTGTAATTATCAGACGAATAAGTATAAAATTAAAATGGAAAATAAGCTACTGTGATTGTGACGTTGGCTATGTAATCATACATAGGTATAGAAAGACACAAAAACACACACAAAAAATGATAAGACGGCAGACTCTAAGTATGTAAACCTTCTGCTATGAATATGTAATTTAAAATAAACATCATAGATAAAGATAAAAGAACATAAGTTAGTACGGGTTAGTCAATAGATATGTTGAAACGTCATTGATTTAAAAAAACTAATGATAAAAGGGAGATAATAACCTTTGAGTGGTAATATCTAAAAATAGAGTATAAACATTAACTGCACACGGGAGAAAATTCGCCATATCTAAATTCCGATCATTTCGCCCTTTTGTGCATAAGGCGAAATGAAATCAACCAAAGTTTCATGATAAAGCTGAAATATATCATATTATGTTTCGGGTGAATTTAACATTGGGTGAAGACAGATATTTTGATGGGAGAGTGAAAATAAGCCTGGGCGAAATATTCGAGTGTAAGAACGAAATCTAGTCTTATAACCATCTCATAATATCCTGGCAAAATATATGTTACCTACTCTTCTCTCCTCTTGTCTTCCACTAGGTCTGCTAGATTCAGACAAGTTGTCATAATAACTAAAAAAATAAAAATCCGAAATAAATCTAAGTTATGTACTTCTGGAATCAATACGATTATAAGTGGACACAAAGAAATCAAAAATAAAAAAAAAAAATGTAAAATGCTTTTTGTATAAAATGTAAAATGTAAAAAAAAACATGAAAGGTCTCGAATTAATTACGAACTTAACTATTTCTCACGGTCATTTGAAATCGGCTGGTCATGTATCAGTTAATTTACCAGCTAACTTCCATGTGTTAATACAGTAACGACTGCTTTAATTCGCTATAGTCAAAATATCGCAGTTTTATCATATGCTTAATCTAAAAGGGATGCACTTTTTGCGAAAGCAATAGAATGGACATTGTTTTTCTTCATCAATTATATTTTCAAGGTATCAATTTTTCGTGACTTTATTCAACCGTTGAAAATAGCGAAAATTAGAAACCCTCAAATATTAAACTTTATAATATGTTGTTAGCATATGCTATATTCAATCTCTTAAATCATCTTTTTGTTAATTATATAAAAAAAACAATGCATGATGTCATTAATATGTCGTTAATAATTACCAGGTGTTTTCGTTCAAGGTTGACCTTTTAAGAATTTAGCACCGTCTTATCCATATATTAACATGACTACCTAGGTATCAGTTGGTAACTTATAAACATTTGTAATACCACACAGATAGTCAAACATATTTCTTTATGGATAGGTATGTGTATAATTGTACAGGTAATCAGGTGTAATGTTATAGACATTGCACAGATAAATATATGCATTATTAAACACGTAGGTGTGTATATTGTTTTACAGGTAGGTGTGTGTGTTGTTGTATATGTAGGTGTGTGTATTGTTGTACAGGTAAGTGTATGTATTGTTGTATATGTAGGTTTGTGTATTGTTGTACAGGTAGGTGTGTGTATTGTTGTATATGTAGGTGTGTATATTGTTGTATATGTAGGTGTGTGTATTGTTGTATATGTAGGTGTGCGTGTTGTTGTACAGGTAGATGTGTGTATTGTTGTATATGTAGGTTTGTGTATTGTTGTACAGGTTGTTGTATTGTTGTATGTGTAGGTGTGTATATTGTTGTACAGGGAGATGTGTGTATTGTTATATATGTAGGTGTGCGTGTTGTTGTACAGGTAGATGTGTGTATTGTTGCATATGTAGGTGTGTATATTGTTGTACAGGTAGATGTGTGTATTGTTATATATGTAGGTGTGCGTGTTGTTGTTTATGTAGGTTTGTGTATTGTTGCATATCTAGGTGTGCGTGTTGTTGTTTATGTAGGTTTGTGTATTGTTGTATATCTAGGTATGTGTATTGGTGTAAAGGTATATGTGTGTATTGTTGTATATGCAGGTCTGTGTATTGTTGTATATGTAGGTGTGTGTGTTGTTGTACAGGTAGATGTGTGTATTGTTGTATATGTAGGTTTGTGTATTGTTGTAAAGGTAGATGTGTGTATTGTTGTATATGTAGGTGTGTGTGTTGTATATGTAGATTTGTATATTGTTGTAAAGGTAGATGTGTGTATTGTTGTATGTGTAGGTGTGTATATTGTTGTACAGGTAGATGTATGTATTGTTGTATATGTAGGTGTGCGTGTTGTTGTACAGGTAGATGTGTGTATTGTTGTATATGAAGATTTGTATATTGTTGTACAGGTAGATGTGTGTATTGTTGTATGTGTAGGTGTGTATATTGTTGTACAGGTAGATGTGTGTATTGTTGTATGTGTAGGTGTGCGTGTTGTTGTACAGGTAGATGTTTGTATTGTTGTCTATGTAGGTGTGTATATTGTTGTACAGGTAGATATGTGTATTGTTATATATGTAGGTGTGCGTGTTGTTGTACAGGTAGATGTGTGTATTGTTGTATATGTAGGTGTGTGTGTTGTTGTATATGTAGGTGTGTATATGTATGTGGTTTGTGTAGGTTTGTGTATTGTTGTAAAGGTATATGTTGTTGTATATGTATGTGGTGTGTATGTGTAGGTGTATTGTTGTTTATTGTTGTAGGTTTGTGTATTGTCGTATATCTAGGTGTGCGTGTTGTTGTTTATGTAGGTTTGTGTATTGTTGTATATCTAGGTATGTGTATTGGTGTAAAGGTATATGTGTGTATTGTTGTATATGTAGGTTTGTGTATTGTTGTATATGTAGATGTGTGTATTGTTGTATATGTAGGTGTGCGTGTTGTTGTTTATGTAGGTTTGTGTATTGTTGTATATCTAGGTATGTGTATTGGTGTAAAGGTATATGTGTATATTGTTGTATATGTAGGTGTGCGTGTTGTTGTACAGGTAGATATGTGTATTGTTATATATGTAGGTGTGCGTGTTGTTGTACAGGTAGATGTGTGTATTGTTGCATATGTAGGTGTGTGTATTGTTGTACAGGTAGGTGTGTTTATTGTTGTATATGTAGGTGTGGGTGTTGTTGTATATGTAGATGTGTGTATTGTTATATATATAGGTGTGCGTGTTGTTGTACAGGTAGATGTGTGTATTCTTGTATATGTAGGTTTGTGTATTGTTGTAAAGGTATATGTGTGTATTGTTGTATATGTAGGTCCGTGTATTGTTGTATATGTAGATTTGTATATTGTTGTATAGGTAGGTTTGTGTGTTGTATATCTAGGTGTGTATATTGTTATACAGGTAGATGTGTGTATTGTATATGTAGGTGTGCGTGTTGATGTACAGGTGTATATTTTTATAGCGGTACAAATAGATATATGTATTTCTTTACAGGTATACCAAGGGACATGGGAAGTGTTACTTAGTAAATTCAGATGTGAAAAACCCCATGAAATATGGGTGTGGCGTTTATTTAACCGCACTATCACCACAACAAGACATAATGGTGTAATGTGACATACGATGATGATAACAGAACGATAAAAATTGATATAAAAGTATTTACAAAGAACATGAAAGTGCATAAATACATCATTTTCAATTAATTTCGTGAGATAAAAAATCTTCTTGATATGAAGTTGATTAAATGAATAAGATTTTTGAAAAAAAAGAAACTAGTGGTTAAAATATATCAATGATAAGGTGAGCTTAGGCTCATTTCGAAATTTTGACTTCGACCCTTTTACCTGATGTTGTGATAACCTGAATTGATAAATCGTTGACATTTTAACCTTTGTTAATGATTTTCAAAAATAGAAAATGTCTATTGATTATATGGTCTGGTTAAGGTTTTCTTTTATCTACGACCTGGTCAACTACATTCTACTAGATGAATTCTCAATCCACTGTGATGTATGTTTTGGCTGGTGAAATACTGCGTAGGTGTTAAACTGTATGAAAACTGACGCGCAGTACTTTTACTTTTACATGTAAAATTCAGACAAACATACATGCAGGACCCAAAACCTACGTACTTATTGTATGTAGCAGGAATGTGTAGTCAACGGTGTATGCTGATTAAGTCTATCGGAATTGCAACATAATGCAGTTCTATTGGATAAACGTCTACGAAATGTCCGAATCGAACTGTTCGCCTAGATGTTCAATTAGTTCCCAGACATCTTCTGCATACTGTTCCCACTCGGTGTCTTCTGTCTCTAATGAGGGAAGTTTGGGAATTACTGTGACTTCCTGTTTCTCAACCATGTCTTGGAACCGGCCACTAGCATCTGGTATTGAGTATTCTAGCACTCTTGCTATTTCAATACTCATATCTTTCCATATGTTGTAATCGGTCACTGGTCCGTCATAATGATACGTTCTAACGTGCTTCTCTCTTACGAATGGTACCCTGTCCTTAAACTCCTGACAGACATACAGAATATTCGGTTTGGGCTGAAGCAGAACGGTGTTGTCAGGGTCTAAAAGCATTTTCGTGTCAGTCATCTCTCGCACACCCTCCAAATCCATGAGGCGTCTTGATTGCAGCTTACACCGTACATCAAGACGTTTCCTAGTATTGGACATGTCGGCATAGCCACGACAGACATCTACTGCCATCCACTTCAAGTCTGAAAGACGTAGTTCAATGAATCTGAGATCTTTGTCAAGAACAACTTGACCTTCGTGTCGTTTTCCATAATCTTGATTACCCATTTTGAATGTTGCGTGAAATTTCACTTCTTCATGCTGCTCTCGGAAAAACTTGTTGAGCAGAAAAGCACTGACATTGTTTTTGTCACATTCCAATGGCATAAAGGAGGTCCGTATGTGTCTTGGTCTTGGCTTCGTAAACCTGCTATGCCTTTTGCGATTTCGCCATCTGCCACGTCCCGATGGGTTGAGTTCTAATTTCTCTTCCTTTCGGTAGGTATTGCCATTCATTTCCATTTCCAATTCTGAAATGGTGAATTGGGGATTGTCGACATAGAATATGTAGTATATTCCAAATGTGATTGCAATCCGTAGTTCCCCATGATATGTACTCTCAAAATCTTGTCGGATAAGCTCTATCTGTGTCCTGAATACTTCTTTGAACATTTCCAAGGATTTTCCGTTATCCTGGTTGGACGAGTCTACAGACGCAATGTATAATGGGATCTCCTTGTGCGCTGGTTGACACCTCCCTTGATAACGTTCGAATGTGAGTTGCTGATCAGGGCCGGTGGACCCGTAGAATAAACGCTTGAAGGCGCCACCAATAAAAGCTTTGTCACGAGCCGCGGTAGTGATAAACTTTGATGATTTGTCATTGAGGTTTTGTAAGGAATGCTGGACATCCCATAACTGCTCTCGAGTTCCCCACGCCTCTAGTATAAGCCCGGGAGTGTCTCTATATGTCTTTCTGCGAATGCTGATTTCGGCACCTGTGTCCGCCGATAATCGTCTAGCAGTATATGTTTCTGCGAACATTACAGATCCCCAGATATCTAACGGCAGGTTTATCATCAGATGATCTTCTTCAATGATGTTTTGGTCGAAGAAGGCACTGACAGATCTGTTTTTTGCGATTTCCTGGTAAACGAAGAGAATTTCTTCCGTGAGGTGTTTGTATTTCCTCCAGTCTATCTTGCCAGGGAATAGAAGCCGTCGACTGTTAGTATCTGTCGGGTCTGGCAAAGATATCTTAAACATTCCATTCTTGTCCTCATTCAGTAGAGAATTAAACGTTCTCAAGACGGTTAGTAGAAGACTAGCTGTGTTGGCCTGATCATTTGATGATATCTTTCCTGGAAACCAACTTTTGTTCAGGTCTACAGGCGCTGCTGTTGGGTTGCTGTCTGCATCTGACAGGAGTTTTAGGACAAGCATCACAAACACTATTTCATTGAACAATGCATGTCTGTTTCTGCCAACGAGTCCAAACTTCCTCCCCCAGTCAAGGAGAAAAGTTAAAATAAGCGTATAGTATGGACGTTTCTGGAGTTCTTGACGGATAAAGTCCGTTCTGTTCTTATCGATGGTGTTTTGTGAAAACGTTACTGTAACTGGATCATCATTTGTTGGGATTACATATGACACTGGAGATACATTCTGGTAGGATCTCATACCATACTTTACGCGACGAGTGAAGTCTTCTTTTGACAACCGCTGAGGGAAATCGAGACAAACATCAATTTCGCTCGTGTATATGTCCATCAGACACAATGATTGCATTCCTGTAATTGACAGCTTTATCTCTTTGTTAACATTGTGATATAGGTGGCCATGAAGCATGCCGAAACATTCATGAAGAAAACGAAACGTCTCATCCCGGTCTTCATGTCTCATATCGAAATGTCGAAGTATCGATGAACCGATTTGAGCAAGGACTGGCCGTTCTTGATCAAGCTTTATGTCCTTGATTTCGTCTCTTGTTGAAGACTCTGCATCCGATTTCATCTCAGACAGGATCTCGCTTATAATCCAGGGAAAACTGACAAGGCGCTTACCTGTGCTGACTTTCTGAAACTTAACATCATAGGCAACAATGTACCATGCTGACGCCTTAGCCAGGATTTTCCTCTTATTATCTTCGGAATTTGATGGGTATAGCATTTCTTCGCCGAACTCCTCAAAGAAGTCTGCTCGCACGTTTTGCCTAATCACGCTCATTTTACCCTGAATAACTTTCCCCAATTCATATTTTTCATTCTGAAGATAACCACGCTTCTTCTTTAGCTTCTGTATAATACCTGTGACAATTTCTGCTTCAGTTTCCACACCATACAGAGACATCAGCTGTAAGATTTTCTCATTATACATGTCATACGAAAGTTGTGCGGATTCTAAATATGTCTCATATCCCGGATATATCATGTCTGGATCAATAACAGTTGCGTGTTGAAGAAGATCTATTTCATATGTACGACTGTGTGCATGCTCCAAAGATCTACACTGGCGAAATAATTTACCTAATACCTTGTTGGATGTATAACGAGGTTTGTCCGATTTCATCATGAAATCCGGGTACTTTTCACATCTCAAGTCTTGAGTCATCTCTGGTACAACCCCAGTTTTTGGAAAGTCAACGGCATCTGAGTGTTTCCTCGACAGATTGATGCATTCCTCACAGAAGATATCTTTAATATCTGCATGGACAACGTGTGCATTAGCAATAACGCCAAGCTGATCATTTCTAATGTACTCTGATATAAAATGTGTGACATCTGATACTTGGACTGGTCGGGGTAATTTTGATTTGTTCGGAATTTGGAAGTCCATAGCTGTTTTGTTTTCCCCTAAGGGATGCATCTGCTTATCCCAGCACACAAAGTACATATCTCCATCTAAGTCTGAACCAGACATCTCGTCTGGATGTGGTCGATGTCCTTTTTGAGGAAACACGATGCAATCAACGTGGTGATGCAATCCAGGCACATCCACTGCCTTAAACTTCCGCAGATCTCCTGGATGGAAACAGGGGTTTTTAGCAACGACAACTTCGGTGTCAAGAATTGTTATACCTCTGAAATTCATCCCGTCGTGCTGTGTGTAAGAGACAAAGATTTGTCCGTACTCCAATGTCCCCGTTTCGTCAGTAGTGCCCATCATGCTCCTTCCTTGATCATAATCTATCTCGATTCTCGTCTTTCGAATCAACTCGGCGAGTTTGCGTTTGTATATTGTCATTAATATTGACCTAAAGAACGCCTCGTCAATAAAAGAAATCCCAGCCCTCATTAGGTCCATGTACTTCATTCCAATGTTGACCTGTAAGGAACAACAACCCAACTAACAAGATTTGTCGGATAAAGTGAAACTGCAAAGGACCGAAGAAACATCAGAAATAAAGACCAAGATGTATATGATGAAGTTAATTATTTTCAAAATTAACAACGAGGCTGACAAATTAACATGTCTTCTTTTAATACTTTAAACGATGATGCATGTTTGTAATAGCTTGATGAAGGAAGAGTGTTATTTTTAAGGAAGGCATAAAGGAAACAATGAGTTTGCTTATAAAGTGGATGTTCAATGTATATATTTTCAGTGATTTTATATCATCTCAGAAAAAAGAGAAAACATAATCCACCGAGAATACCAACATTTACAATATTTCAAAGCTGATATTCATTATTCCTGTAATCAAAACGTTTGTGAGACGTTCTGAAAATACAAAGATGAATGTTAAATATCCAACACTACAGGTAATTCATTTACTTTAAACATCTTTAAATCAGTCTCCAAAAGTCATTATATACTAGAAAATGTTTTGCCCCATTTAATTTTGACAAAATATTGATTTACATAGTCTTAATCGAGTCTAAATAATTTTACAACTTAGAAACAAAAACACTCTTTAAAAGCAACATGAAATGTGGCGAATCCGATAACGAGCGAATTTTATGCAAAATGAAGTTTAGACTGCCGTTAACAAATCCCAGCAGCTTATAAACCTGAACTCACATTTTCAAATCTGTATCTATGATAAAATTAGCACCTGTTCAGATCTCTTACTAAAACTTACATTTGACCATTCTCTTTCACTAATACGTATCTTGTAGTTTTATAATTGGATCATAATTAGTACGATTACAAGATGACGACCTGTAATTTTATCAAAGGGAGGTGCCTTAGTTTTCGATATTTTTTCCGTCACATATTGGTTTGGTTTGGAGCGTTCTTGATTATAATTATAACTACTACCTATATATCTCTTAAAAGTAAGTCATTGTGATAACAAAATGATTCCGGTGACGTTAACAATACTTTAAATTATTTAGTTTTCGCGAATACTCTATTTGCAAATTTACCTTTTCAGACATATTGGCAAATACATGATTTCGCGAACGCTGATCTCAAAATGGCTTAAAATTCGCGAATGGTGGTGCTATCAGAGACCTAGACTCCGATATTGGTAACCAAAGAATGAATATTTTATTTACTTACAAATAATCGCGAACGGATTTGAAGTTGCGATTGACGCGAAATTAAATCCCAAGCGAAATACAAGTTATTTGCAGTAGATGGCATGAGCAAATTGATGTGTTTTCTCCCATTTTCAGAAATTGAATAATTCGGCTGTATCGGAGAATGAGTGTACATGTCAGCTTACACCAATGCTGAGAGCTATTATCTTATAAACTGTTTAGGGAACTCACCTCGGATAGCGCACGTAAGGCCCTCTTATTTTCGAGCAGCATGTCAGCAATGTTAAAAAGCATCTTCTCTTGAAGCGACATGAAAACGTTGTCTGGGACTCCCAGTCCTGACATCAAAGTGATCACTTGTCTGTTTAAGTGCAACTGACCTGGTGATTTGAAATGAAATTGATACATTGGAAATATGTTTACAGATTACAAAGATGACAATTAGATTAATTTCAGTTAATTATATATACCCGGTATATTTCATTTTGATGAACAAAATATTACCAGGATGAGTTGTCTGCAATATTTCTAGGTTTTTAGAGGGAGATTCGAATTTGCGCATGCTGCCACGGATATGGATTTGCTCTGTCTTTCCAAGAGTGGGATCCATGGCGATTACACCTTTGCAACCACCGTAGCGGATCTGAAATGCCGAAGGCACCGGATCCATCTTCAAGGAACCAGCAACCTAAAAACGCGTGAAAATTGAAAAAAAGAATTTAAAGAAAGAAGATTATACCTAAGAAAGTATGCTTTTGAATCACATATTTTCTACTAATCTTGATGTTACATAGATTTTTCGGTATCCTATTTATTCTCTGTGAATTTTTTGATTGGTGTTGGAGTTATATAGAAAAATGAATTAAACATATTGATAGACACGATCGTAAGCGAACATTTTTTCACTTATTTTACTTAAAAATCATATAAAAGCTATACAAAAAGGGAAAGATTACAGATGAAGATGAATTCGCCTACGATACCTTTTTCGCTAAGGGTACTGAAATCTTCCCTATGCCATCTGTGAAGCAGTAGGATCCCAATTTCACGTCATCAATGAACTTAACTGAACCGCGATCTACATCAACCTCCACAGTAGCTCGGGATGCTGAGAAACATAATCCCATGCGAGACACATACGTGGCAACACATGTCTCTTTAGTCAGATCACCAGCCGCGAACCTGATGCTTTCTGCCGTCTCACCGTTGTTAGGACAAACGAACCACACTCCATGTTCACGTAACTGACTGTTTGAGCAGGCTAAAAACTCGTACTTTCTATCGCCAATTTGGAATCCATGGTCCATAAATTCTTGAAGACGATTTGTAATGTTTTTGAATCCTTCTGAACGAGTTGCGCTCAGTCTAGTGAAATCTTCATCACGGAATATCACGCGGACGAAAAAGTCGTCATCGTACTTTCGAATAATCCTGTTTTGAACAATCGGTTCTTTCCGGAGTGGAATCATACGAGTTGGAGTGACAACTATTCGTCTTGTCATAGAAAAGTGAGATGGAAGTTCTTTTCTCTCATCTGGAACGCTCAAATGGTCAAATCTCTCTTGGCTTTTAGTAAGAATTCTATCGAATTCAAAAAATTGGCTGTTGTCAGCACTGCTTGTCATTTCCTGGAATACCTCCGGAATCAGTACAGATTTCTTTTGCTCCAATAACGCCAATGACTGTTCTGTTATAGCGTCTGTCACTTTAAAGCCACAAGCGAGGAGACTTTCCCACGCATAGTTAAGATCGAAAGTGTCGAATTTTATTTTATTAACTTGACGATTCTCGGGGTCTTTGACGGACACATTGGCATAGGAAATTGAAAATCCATGCCTTTTCAATCTTGCCATAAGTGTCCACATGCTATTTTGGTCTGTGGATGTCGATGGCGACGGTTGTTCTTTCTTGTTATCAGGCACATCTAAACATAGAACAGAGGTAAAGCCTATGTTTTCTCGCGTGACAGAAGTGAGATGGACCATCCTTTTCTCTTCCATCTGGTCAGATTTAGGTCTTTTAGATTTTTCGATAATTTTCGGTGGATATTTTAGTCCAACATAAATGTGCCAGGCATTTCTGTTGTGATGTGCTATCATAGTGTCGCTTAAAATACTGTAAGCTATTTCCATGACTTCTTCGGTGCCAAAACCGCGTTTCCGGGTAACAGATAAAAGTTCATTATCATGTTCAAAAGTGACTTGCACTGTGCCAGCTACCGACCAGTGCTTAATGAATACAGTTGGCGATATCATGGCACCTCCTGACACCACACTATCGACACTACTAACAGACGAAAGCTTGTTGGATATCTGGTAAGCCCGACGTTCTGCAGGGATAACTTCCATCCATGCTAACTTCTCGGAATCTTCCTGGTAATTAAACCAAGCACGAAATAGCAATGTTTCAAGATCCTGTACAATGGTTCCTTTGGGCAGGTCAAGCGTCGACTTTAAACTTTGATTACAATCAGCAAAACATTTCTCGCCTGTAATATTAAATTTAAATGACATTACAACGGGTTTGAGTTCGAAAACTCTATCAATATCAAAGGAAATACGGATAAAAGCATATTGTGGTACATAGTTACGAATGAGATATAAACAATGTATGACTCTCACCTTCTTCGTCTGGTTTTTGTTTAACGACTGTGACGTTTGACGGAAGATAACTGTGGAGAAACCGCCTTGCAGACTCATTATTAGACAAATAGTGGAATATAACATCGCACAGACCATGGTAGGTGTGCCTTTGTTCAGGTGTTTTACTCGGTGCTTTTTGTTTCTTCCTATTCTTCCTACTTGGTAGTTTCGGCTTCTCCTGCTTTGATGTTTGTTGATCTTGGTTTTGAGAAGATGATGAATTGTTGGTAGTTTCGGCTTCATTTTGGGATGCTAATGGATTGTTCGTAGTTTCGGCTCCATTCTGGGATGCTAATGCATTGTTCGTAGTTTCTGCTCCATTTTGGGATGCTAATGGATTGTTCGTAGTTTCGGCTCCATTCTGGGATGCTGATGAATTGTGGGTAGTTTCGGCTTCAAGTTGGGATACTGATGAACCGTGGGTAGTTTGATGCTCTGTAGAATCTGGTTGAGGCGTTGGATCCTCCGTTTTATTCACAGTTTCTCCATGCTGTAAAAGTATCTTTCGCGTTTGGTGATTGGGAGGATCCTCAGAAGGGTCTTTGAAACGTGCTTCCTTTTGCTCCTGTTGTGATTCCATGACAGAAAGTTGACTACTAATGCCTCGTCAGATGATGGAACCTTCATTAATATCACCAAATGTCTCCATTATCCCAGGCATTTTTTATCTCTGGTGATCAGGTGTGATCTTGGCCATGGTCTGTTGTACATCTCATTTCGGCAAATCTTCAACAAAGAAAATGGATCGTTGGGATGTTATTGTAATACGTATATCAAATTGTAGCAATAGCAATATGTAATATATTCATAACAGCGAGATTAATTCTAGTTGTCTTAAGATCAGTTTATCACACCAGGTATAGGAAAAAAAATCTGATAAGTATTTATATAGAAAAGCCAATTTCTATGTTAATGACTGTAACGACTGTACAACTGATTTGAGGAAATTAGACTGAATTAGATTATCTAACTTCACGGGGACATTGTACAAATTTTACACACGCTATTTAAATTCAAATCCAAGCTGAATGGAGATTTAACAATAGCTAAGTAAGCGCTTCATTTATTTTAAATACTATAAAATCAATTTGATTACCGATGATGAGTAAAGTTAATTTAAGATCAATATAACCAGATTATACTATTAATAAATAAAAATAGTATTGACACAATTTCTTCTTTGTATGTTTGGAAAGATACTTCTTGAATAAATTGTGTAAATAAGCAAATGTACGCAGTTTAGAAAAAGCCTGTGTTTGGGACTGATTTACAGTAACCTTTCAATCGGCATGGGAGGATAGATTTCATGATGTTTGTAAACACATTTTCACACAAAAGAACTGATATTTTGCAAATACAAACATAGGATAAAACTCAGCAAACAGGTAATACAGTTGAACCTTGTTATTTCGAACTCGGCGGGACCATGAACAAACTTCGAGACAACGGAGTATTTGATTTAAGAAAGTTCGGATGTTTTTTGTAAAGTTAGGCAAGATCGACAAAATGTTTTGAATCAAACAGAGCCTTCGAGTTATACATGATCGCGATAACAAGGTTCCACTGAAAGTATGTTTTTGTTTCTTAAGCTTCAATAAACACCCTGGAGCTAGATAGTTAAGATACAGTAATATATGAATATTTCTTATCAGTTATAATAATAATATTGATAAATTAAAAAAAGCAATCTAATCGTCGCGTTATGTCGATGTTATGAAGGAAGGATATGTTTGTTCGTTTTGATGATTGATAGTATAACCGTAGTAAGCATGTCTTAATTATTGTTGTCAGCACGTTTTATCTAAGTGTACTGTGAACAAGTGACTAATCATCTTTTAATGTAACTTAATGTTGAAACAGATATTTTCCTTCAGTAAATTGACTTGTTGCGTTGATTTCCATATTTCTACCAGGGCTTTGTTATCATATGTGCCATCTAAATGTTTACATTTTTTTTCTTATCCGTCGAGAGTTGTCGTTGGTCGCTCGGTTTATTCCGTAACTATTGATCGGTATCAAACGGCACCGAGATCATCCGCCAGGGTTAACCGAACGAATGTATTGTATAGCAGTACCTTTGTAATACTTGATTTACATATCAACTTACACACTACTCGTGTACTTGGGCCTGGATGCACTCCGTGTTGTATATCTTATATATGAATAGCTTTGCCTATCGAAGCGTTGACAACATATTTGTACTCATACTAAAATATGCATAAACATGTTTCGTTCAGAAATTGGAAATATTAAAAATTAATATAGCATTACGACAATTCCGTGCGCTTTATCTTAATTACTCAATATTAACAGAACATATTTGATATAAATACGTGTATTGTTAAAAAGGTTGTCGAATGTGTGCTGATTTTAAACAGCCGTCCACGAATTCACTCGAGTGTCGTCTTCGTGATGGCTGCCCGATCTCAATACAAAGATTTTTAGAACAGATATACACGTGTATTAATTATCTTCTGATGTGTAATATTAATAAGAAAATAAACTAAACAAATGATATAAAGAACCTACCTCTGTGAAGAGTCTTGATTTACCACTATTTTGATATATGAAACGTACATGTCACAGAATCGAAAACGAAACTAAATTAACTTCCGTACTCGGAATTCCAATGACGTAAGTTGTAACAGAATATAAAGAGAGACACTTTAATGTTAGTAATGGGAAGGCGAATAACACTATCGTGGTATTTAATCGTACAGCAATTGATTTTTGTCGTTGAAAAGACCAAGGTTCGGCTGCCTAGGTATAATTAACCGAGTCGATGGTTAGCCCATAAAATCTAATTATTATGGAAGGGAGGTAACCACTACTTAAATATCTGTCTTGTACATTTAATGGTTTCGTTGAATATCATATATATTTTACGAGTATAATAGGATGTCTTTGCACTCGTGAAACATTCAAATAAATATGTTATACAAGATATATATAAATATGATATTCAACGGGAAAGCATTACTTTCTAAAACTTCATTTTATAAAGGGGAAACATAAAAAAGGAAGTCGATCCAAACATAAGAGAAAGAGTTGTTTGAGAAATATAAGCACGTGCTTTGACGTCAAATAGTTATGGGCTACACTTGAAAAACAAGACGACGCCATTTTGAATAAAGGCTGATTGTATTATGCTGCTATCTGGTAAGACCCGCTTACAAAACTGTTTTGTTATACAAAATCGGAGAGAGCCAGAAATGTACGCTGGAATTATTTGATAGAAAACCTTATTCAATCCTCGCTTCGAGACCAAAGAGCAAAATAGGTGCGTTTCCATGCAGTTACTAAGACGTATTCCTCTGGTTAGTCAAATTAGCGAAAGTTACATGTATATCATCAATGGAAAAGTTATATCATCTCTAGTAATGATATAAGAATTATTGTATCATCACTGTAGTAATGCCCTTATTTTTTTTTAACAAATTAAGAAATTCCTATATTTCACTGGCAAAATTGCAATAAATGATTATGATGTATATGGGTCTCTTCGGGAAAAATCAGACATGTTAAACCAATTCTTGCCATAGTTGTCGTTCCTTAACAGTCACAATATAACTCTGTTAACGACTCACTGGCTACCAATTGTTGACCTCGCTGTCAGGGTTGAAGTTTAAAGTTTGAAAAGTATTCTATTTCTTTGTGTGATATAGAGCTGGGTGTGTTTGATGCTCGTTAGTATAACATATCAAGATGTACAACCAATTCGCCTATTCCGTATTACTCACACAAACATGAAAATGAAAGTTCCAGCAAATTAACAAGGGTAAATACAACTATATTGATATAAATTTGTCTTGTAAATTTGGCGTCATACATTGTATGGGAATACTTTCTTAAACATGTTGTACCAAAAAAAATCATTCAATAAAAACTTAGAATAAGACACATTATAATTAATGAATTAATCTACATCATGCAGTCATTTTCCCCGAGACTTATCAGTGGTGTCAAGGGTCTAAATATAGTTTAAGAAACTAATCTCATTTTGGCATAGTTTGTCTTCAGTGATGGGAAGGGACTAAATGTTATAAAGACATAGAAGGGCATAATGAAAGGAAAGAAATCATTCTAGTTATGACATAGTTTGGCAATGGGATTGCGCTTAGTTCCAAATGTAAACCTTAATGATAAAAAATGTACTTATGTATGTGTGAACGAATAATTTTGCTTTGATACGCCAGATGGAATGTTTTCATTATTCATTGAAGTCGATCCTACCTTTACCTTTCTTCCATGTACAGCCTTTGATATTGCTTTTGAGTAAAATATGTATTTATGTATGGTTACCTACTAAAGAACACAAGTTCTACATCATGTATTATAACTTATCTAACAGGCATTAAAACCGACAGATGTTTCTTTCTACCCACACCAATATAGTAAATCATACATACTGTAAAACCAAAAATTTTAGAGGGGCTTTTGTTTTCTTTTGGTCTAAGGATAATATTTAACAACGAATTCATATGTCGGCAAACTTTTAAAATTTGTAAATGTGTATTTATTAAACCATACTCATCCACGTTGTGAAATTCCGCGAAAAAGTACCAAAATCTATGATTTTTTTATATTCATGTCATCTTGTTTCTTGCGTTTTCACAAATCACCTTAGCGGTATATTGTCCTTTTTTCGTCTCTAACACGATTCATAATTATTAATTGGTGATTGTGCTTTGTGCTTGTTAATACCATCGGTTGATTTGACGTGCAAATGTACTTCTAAACCATAAAGAGACCGAATCCAGCTAAACAAAAAGATAAGATTAGAATGTCATTTGATTTACCAATAAAATTAAGTCCCCATATAAGTTATAGGCAGCATATGGTGCATTACACTCATGTTAAAGGGATAAGCAATTTAATGCGATTTATTTACGTTGTAAGTAGTTGAACATTGCATTGACATCAGATCGTAACTGAACAGGTGGTTGTCAGTGGGTTGTAATATATTTGAATATTCTTGCGAGCAATATCTATTACCATTTTAGACCAAAAAGTTACATACCAAATTGGGAATGGTTCTTTTCCTTTTATAAAAAACAAGAATTATGTCGGTAACAATAATATTTGATTACAAAACTCAATTATTTCACTTGTTTTACCGGAGAAAATATAACATTTAAAAGTGGGCAATGATTGATATAACCAATAACAGTGTTTTATTTTCTTATCTGAAATCAATAGTAGTTAAGTAATGGATGTGTTATCATCGTTCAGAATACAGGTTATTTATAGGAATATCAATTTTCCTGGTTAACTGCTTTTAACTGCTTAAAAAGGAACTTTCACCGATAAGATTCTTATTGGTATATAAGTTTGTTTTATGAATTCTCGCAAGTGGTCAAAGAAACTTCAGAAAAACACATACATAGTTACAGTCAAATAAAGTAATTTATTATTTATGTACATTTTATTAAAACAAATAATGTCCTGTATTAGGTAAAATTTCACGCTTCACGGCTTTCCGAAAGTGACGAAGCTTCTCGAGCAATAAACGGGAAATGGTGTGGCTTTAAAATTACCTTGATTAGTTTTTCGTACGTTACAGTTAACATAATTACTTGATATGTTTGTGAAGTTTATCTTAATGACATAAGATTTACATAGATGAGTTATTTTTTTCCACAGGTAAAAAAATTTTTTCAACCATTCAACCGGTCAGTTCTCAATCCGTTCAGCAAAAGAGCTATTCAACACTGATCAAATATTCAGTTTGTTGGGTTTGTTTTTAACTATGTCATAAACAACATTTTTTACAACTAATTGTAGGTGTTGTAAACAACACGCTTTCCAAACTTATTTTTGGCAATTCGTAATGAAATAAGTTATCATATATAAACAAAATGTAAATTCATAAGCGAATTTATTGAATTTATATACTTGCTTTGAAAAAACAACAGCATATCAAATTTGATAATCAAGGATACATGCTTTTTTTATCTAAAGAAAAAAACATTATAGAATATGTGCAATGTATATTTTTAAAAAATCCTGAGAGTTGACCACTTAAATAATACGTTTTCTGAAGTGCGAAATATAGACTAAATATCAAGATTAAAAACAATTATGACATGTGACAAATTCGCATGATTTGGCTGAAAAAATGCATTCACTATTCTGCACAAGGTCGTATCTGGTAACGAATATAAGCACACGTCCAGTTTAAGACAGGAGAATTGTAGTAAAATGTATATCGCAGTCAAGCACATGATTGGATGGATTTCAGGTTGTTGATTTCCTCTTCAAGCTCCACTATGTTGTAGCATTTATAGTATTGACTATTGGTCATAAAAATATGGTATCATCCTTCATCAGGTCGGACCCTACCTTTCTTTGCGTTATTGCTAAACGAACAACGTTTGGTATTTCTTCTCAGTAAAAGACGTACTTAGCATTGTTATTTATACCGAAAAGTATGTTTTACAACAGGTATTATTGCCTGAAAATCTGGTATTAACCGACAGGTGTTCCTTTCGTCCCACAACATTTTTTATACGTAAATTAAAGAAAGTGTTGTGTACTTTATTGTCCCTTTATGAAAGATTTAATATCTTCGTTTTTCAACCAGATTTTCATTTTCAATACTGGCTATTTCTTTCTGTCAAGTTGGGCATTCCTTGACTATACAAAAATTCAAGCAAGAGTCAGAGACAGATGTTAAATATATGTTTGTGCATGCGTAGTCGTTGTCGATGTATAAAAGCCTTGCATTCCGTCAAACCTAAACTAAACCTGTGAAGGATGTTTCCACTTCCATTCGTGGCGTTTTCTTTCTTTTTTGGAATACAAAATACTCTGGCATGTACGTATATCAAAGTGTGTTTAGATATATAAATATATATATAAAAAAAAAGAGAAAATTTTGGAAGTATTACATTATCTTAGTTTTGAGACAGTGACAATATTTACTTTGCTAAACGATTACTTTTTTTACCACATTTTTAAGGGGATAATTGTCATGGCGCCTGTTCCAAAAACTCCTGGTGTGACCCTGACGACAATAGATGTAAATGCAGTCCTGGCTATTCCGGGGATCCGTACTGCTCTACTGGATGTGTCCAAGGTAAGACAAATGATACTTGTGTTTATATATCTTTCTATGAGCATGAATCGTTAATTATATTCTGTACAATTACACGTGATCGCTTCTTGTGGACTTACATTTACAAAATAATGTTTTATGTAGCATTCATTTTCTGAAACAAGTTAGCATTTCAAAAAGCGTAAAGAAATAAATGCGAAAAAGCTGTATACTATTTTTTTTAAATAGCATTAAGGTAATGACCATTTTCTATTTAAAGTTTCTTTGCAACACATGACTTTGGTTTTTACAAATGTCATTGTAAACTGAATTATATTAATATAATGCAAATAAAGACTTTTGAATTAACATGCAGGTTTCAGCATATTCAGAAACGTTTTGTAATATATGTATAACAAGGTTTAAAAATAAAACACTTTCTAAATCGAATATATAAATAAAAAAATGGACGAACAGATTAACTAATGGTTAAAGTTAAATCTGTTTTAATAAACTGGAACATAATAGGAATCAAAAGTTGATTCTAATAGAAATTACCAACGTATCTTTTAAAGCTGAAACAATTAAAACACCCAAAGACACATAAAATGATTTGAAGACTATATTGATCTCAAGTTTGATTTATAAATACTTACAAAATCACATAACTGATCTACTGGAGCTAAACAATGCATTGAACTGCATCAAACAGCTCTTTCGTCCTTCTAGGACACGTCAGTGATACTAAGGGCCTAAATTATAAACCAAGGAGGCGACTGAGGACTATCCAACGTGATCGAATGAAATATCGAAACTATCTTGATAAACAAGCGGTAACCAGAGTTGTACACGATGTCTAAAAAATATTGTTTTGTATGTGATTGTGTCTTGGCCGTTATATATTTATTACATTTTTTCTGAATTTAGACAGCATATTAGGTATACTTGTTGATATCAGTGAATATATAATGAAAAAGACAGCAATGCGATACATACATGATAAGAGAGCAAGTGTTTTTTTCTTGATTTCAGATCCTAAACTACCCCGGTGTTGTGAAAATGCTATTCGAATAGATTCAGTGTGTGTGTGTAAGACTGGGTATATAGGCGATGGGTTTAGTTCTTGCGACCCAGGTATGTGTTCCATATAAACATGACAGGAAAAACTACAAGACTACATAACAATAGGACATGTTTTATTAAATGAAATGATGCGATGAATGGCATTCCAAAGAAATGGACAATATAAAAATTGCATTTCTTTGTATCAAAGTCTATATAGAAAATAATCTTCATAAATGGGATAATTAATTAATGTTTCATTTGATTAAAAAGTTTTTGAAAATCATTTCTGTAGGAGTTCGTACAACAAGTTCTAAATTAAGTTGGACTTTAAAGACTGAAAACCTTCCCAATAATATTGTCTGAAATGTATATCAATCATAAAGTTTGTTTTAATAATTTTTATTTCCTTTGTTTGTGCTAACAGAACGAAGTAAGACACGATTCCGATACTCTGTCTTTGTTGTCGTGACGGTAACGAACTATCGCGAACGCAAATATGTGGTGTTACTTATTCGGCGTCACCAACATTTTACTTTGAATTTTTTAATATAAATCTTGCTTTTAAAAGGTCCAGACTCAAAAGGAAGATCTGATGGCATAAAATATAGCGGACATTTAAACATATCCATCCTGTAAAGAGTATCTTCCAACGTTTACTGTGAACGGACTCTGAAAATTAGGGATGCTGAAAAACTAGACCTATGATTTTCGTGTTAGGTCAGGTGACCTTAACAAATAAGTGATAGTCCAAAATAAGTTAACATGATAACTGATGACGATGATTGGTGATACATTGTTGTAGTAATGATGATAATAATGATGATGATGGCAGTGTTGATGTATTGATAATGGTGATGATCGTATATTCATAACAAAAATGTTCAATTCCAGTCCCGTGTTATGGTAAATGTAAGACAAATGCCTACTGTAGGACCTCGGACAACAAATGTTACTGTAAATCTGGCTTTACAGGGAACCCGTATGTTGGATGTCGAGGTATGTTAATATTCGATGATATGACACCATGCACTTTGCATGTTTTGCTCCTGAATTGAATATACAATTACAATATAAAAAGGCTGCCTGCTGTATATAAAATTTAGTATTTCCTACATACCAAATATGCTGAATTGCCAAGGTTTAATTCTTCGTGTTTGCTATTTAGAAATATTTCTGTTTCAGTCCCGTGTTATGGTAAATGTAAAGAGAATGCCTACTGCAGGACCTCGGACAACAAGTGTTACTGTAAATCTGGTTTTACTGGGAACCCGTATGTAGGATGTAGAGGTGAATAAAGTAGCAACAGAAAAATACGCCCTGATATCATTGGTCACAATTGCTTTCTAAATAAACGAATTTTGTTAATTTGTGTCTTTCGTTTCCAATTCAATATAATCTGTATTCACATTCTCCAGAACTTTCATTATTCCTTTTATTGAATCAAATCAATTGTATTTTTAGTGAAAATCATCGTATTTTTTTTTCAAGAGCTTCTTTTTTTGTTATCAGTCCCGTGTGATGGTAAATGTAAGACAAATGCCTACTGTAGGACATCGGACAACAAATGTTACTGTAAATCTGGATTCATAGGGAACCCGTATGTAGGATGTAAAGGTATGTTATAGTATTATATACATTTATTAATACAATACATCATTCATTTTAACCATATTAATTCTTTGAATGATGTTTTAACGTAGGAAACGAAATCTACAATAAACTTTTCGTAATTATTCTTTATTGACATTTTCATGGAATGTTACAGTTCCATGTGATGGTAAATGTAAGACGAATGCCTACTGTAGGGCATCAGACAACAAGTGTTACTGTAAATATGGCTTTACTGGGAACCCGTATGTAGGATGTAAAGGTATGTAAATAATCAAGCATGTTTCTGAGGTCGGTTAATTGATACCAACACTTGGCGTGTTTTTCTGCTTACTTGGATATGAACTTACAATCTCAAAAATATTGCCTGCTGTTAATAAGATTTTATATTTTGAACATACCAAATACGCAGAATAGCCAAGACATAATTCTAAGTGTCTGCGTTAAAGAAATATTAATGTTTCAGTCCCGTGTTATGGTAAATGCAAAGCGAATGCCTACTGTAAGACTTCGGACAACAAGTGTTACTGTAAATCTGGCTTCATAGGAAACCCGTATGTAGGATGCAAAGGTAATCTTATAATGTCCAATCAAACAAGTGTCCGGATTCCTGTATTCTAATAATCGTTGTAGAATTTTACTTCGTAATAGTTTTCTGACCTCTGGCAGCACTTTTAATGATATGATTACAGAACAGAATTCGAAGTTATTCCAAAACATAGTTTTGTTGAAGTGATGAATGAAAATGCTTGAAATAAATTGGTCAAGGGTACAAATTATTCTTTAATAGAATCGAAACTGAGTTGAAATCTTCACAAATCTACGAAATGATTTATTACTTCATTGCAGTACCGTGTGATGGAAAATGCAAGACAAATGCCTATTGTAGGACCTCGGACAACAAGTGTTACTGTAAATCTGGCTTTACTGGGAACCCGTATGTAGGATGTAGAGGTGAGCTTTAAACTTTCAACAAAGATATTTTCATTTAACAAAGTTTGAAATGAACACCAAGCATACTTTTTCTTTCCAATCCTTTTCCTACAGCTAATAGTTGACGAGGCCAAACTACTTATATTGTTGTTACTCTTTCTGCAGTGATGGCGCCGACATCATCATCGTCAATATTTTTACTAGGAGGTTTTCGTTTAGATTGTTCTGAAAAAGTTCGCAGTCCAGCGTAAAACAAACGTCATATTTCGACCACATTTGAAATATCAACACTTAATCGTTTACATAGCTCTTTCAGATTGTACAAATAAGCTGCAATAAAAATTACAAATATTAACAAACTGGGTCGCAGTATTTTAGGGTTAGATTTCTATCTGACGAAACAGCAAGTGTTATATATTAAGTGACATTGTTGTAAGGACCTCGAAAGACATGAACTATGAAAGACTATGTGAACTTTACATTTTCATTTATTATATTTGGATAAAGCACTAGATTCAGCTAACAGTCATAGGTAAAAAAAGTACAATGAAATCTAAGACTTATCATCGTCTCACTTCCGAATACCAACAAAATCAAAATTTAAAGTCCATGAACAAAATATGAATAATATATATCATACACAGTGAGAAACCTTGCGAAATACAAAGATAATGCGACCAGGTTTCTCCCGTAAGGGTTTGTCTTTTGCCATGTATATCTTGACTAGTCCAAGTGATGTCTTGTTCCCAAAGTAAGACAAGGTAAACACCTTGCGTACTTTCGAGCATCCAATACGTCCAACTTCATGTCCTCGTCAGGAACTGAATTATTTTCCCCATTAGATCATTATCGTGACCATAAAACTTCCTCATAGTCTTCAAAAGATATACTGGATGAAAGTTATTTTGAATATGCAGAACAAATAACGTAGAACTGGGAACATTAAAAAACCCTAACATATACACTAATAATCATTTGCTACATTGCAGTACCGTGTGATGGTAAATGCAAGGCCAATGCCTACTGCAGGACCTCGGACAACAAGTGTTATTGTAAATCTGGCTTTACTGGGAACCCCTATGTAGGATGTAGAGGTGAGTAAAATAGTAACAGGAAAAACTTCCTGGTGTCGTTCGTTAAAATTGTTTGCTATATAAAACGGTGTTTTTGTAATTTGTGTTTTGTTTCCAATTCAATATAATCTGTAGTTACATTATCTATCCAGGACATCCATTATTCCTTTTGGTGAAACAAATTAAGTGAATGTTTAGTGAAAATCATGGTATTTTTTTTTAAAAAAACTTCTTTTTCGTTATCAGTCCCGTGTGATGGTAAATGCAAGAAAAACGCCTACTGTAAGACCTCAGACAACAAGTGTTACTGTAAATCTGGCTTCATAGGAAACCCGTATGTAGGATGCAAAGGTAAGCTCTTAATGTCCTACTGAGCCAAATTCCGGATTCCAATACTCGAATATTCATTGTAGAATTCTTCTTCGTCATAGTTTTCTGTCTTGATGCATAATTTATAACGATACGATTACAGCATGGAATTTGATGTCATTCCAAAACTTTGTTTTGTTCAAATGATGAATGAAAATGTTTGATAATAAAATGTTCAAAGGTACAAATTATTATATAATAGAACCGAAACTGAGGTTTAACCTGCGCACATCTATAAAATGATTAAATTCTCCATTACAGTACCGTGTGATGGAAGATGCAAGGTGAATGCCTACTGTAGGACCTCAGATAACAAGTGTTACTGTAAATCTGGCTTTACTGGAAACCCGTATGTTGGATGTAAAGGTATGTAAATAAAGAAACATGAAAACGTTCCCGAGGTTAGGTAATTGCCACCAAGCACTTGGTGTGTTTTGCGCCTAAATTGGATATGAAATTACGTTTAAAACAACAGTTATCGTATATCGTTTTTCGTATTAAAACAGAAACGAATATGTTTATGTGCCCAGGCATAATTCTAAGTATTTGCTGTTAAGAAATATTTATGTTTCAGTCCCGTGTTATGGTAAATGCAAAGCGAATGCCTACTGTAGGACGTCGGACAACAAGTGTTACTGTAAATCTGGCTTCATAGGGAACCCGTATGTTGGATGCAAAGGTAAGCTTATAACTCCAATCTAACAAGTATCCGGATTCCTTTATTCTAATAAACGTTGTAGAATTTTATTTCGTAATAGTTTTCTGACCTCTGGCAGCACTTTTAATGATACGATTACAGAACAGAATTTGATGTTATTCCAAAACTTAGTTCTGTTGAAGTGATCAATGAAAATGTTTGAAATAAAATGGTCAAAGGTACAAATCATTCTTTAATAGAATCGAAACTGAGTTGAAATCTTCACAAATATACGAAATGATTTATTACTTCATTGCAGTACCGTGTGATGGAAAATGCAAGACAAATGCCTATTGTAGGACCTCGGACAACAAGTGTTACTGTAAATCTGGCTTTACTGGGAACCCGTATGTAGGATGTAGAGGTGAGCTTTAAACTTTCAACAAAGATATTTTCATTTAACAAAGTTTGAAATGAACACCAAGCATACTTTTTCTTTCCAATCCTTTTCCTACAGCTAATAGTTGACGAGGCCAAACTACTTATATTGTTGTTACTCTTTCTGCAGTGATGGCGCCGACATCATCATCGTCAATATTTTTACTAGGAGGTTTTCGTTTAGATTGTTCTGAAAAAGTTCGCAGTCCAGCGTAAAACAAACGTCATATTTCGACCACATTTGAAATATCAACACTTAATCGTTTACATAGCTCTTTCAGATTGTACAAATAAGCTGCAATAAAAATTACAAATATTAACAAACTGGGTCGCAGTATTTTAGGGTTAGATTTCTATCTGACGAAACAGCAAGTGTTATATATTAAGTGACATTGTTGTAAGGACCTCGAAAGACATGAACTATGAAAGACTATGTGAACTTTACATTTTCATTTATTATATTTGGATAAAGCACTAGATTCAGCTAACAGTCATAGGTAAAAAAAGTACAATGAAATCTAAGACTTATCATCGTCTCACTTCCGAATACCAACAAAATCAAAATTTAAAGTCCATGAACAAAATATGAATAATATATATCATACACAGTGAGAAACCTTGCGAAATACAAAGATAATGCGACCAGGTTTCTCCCGTAAGGGTTTGTCTTTTGCCATGTATATCTTGACTAGTCCAAGTGATGTCTTGTTCCCAAAGTAAGACAAGGTAAACACCTTGCGTACTTTCGAGCATCCAATACGTCCAACTTCATGTCCTCGTCAGGAACTGAATTATTTTCCCCATTAGATCATTATCGTGACCATAAAACTTCCTCATAGTCTTCAAAAGATATACTGGATGAAAGTTATTTTGAATATGCAGAACAAATAACGTAGAACTGGGAACATTAAAAAACCCTAACATATACACTAATAATCATTTGCTACATTGCAGTACCGTGTGATGGTAAATGCAAGGCCAATGCCTACTGCAGGGCCTCGGACAACAAGTGTTATTGTAAATCTGGCTTTACTGGGAACCCCTATGTAGGATGTAGAGGTGAGTAAAATAGTAACAGGAAAAACTTCCTGGTGTCGTTCGTTAAAATTGTTTGCTATATAAAACGGTGTTTTTGTAATTTGTGTTTTGTTTCCAATTCAATATAATCTGTAGTTACATTATCTATCCAGGACATCCATTATTCCTTTTGGTGAAACAAATTAAGTGAATGTTTAGTGAAAATCATGGTATTTTTTTTTTAAAAAACTTCTTTTTCGTTATCAGTCCCGTGTGATGGTAAATGCAAGAAAAACGCCTACTGTAAGACCTCAGACAACAAGTGTTACTGTAAATCTGGCTTCATAGGAAACCCGTATGTAGGATGCAAAGGTAAGCTCTTAATGTCCTACTGAGCCAAATTCCGGATTCCAATACTCGAATATTCATTGTAGAATTCTTCTTCGTCATAGTTTTCTGTCTTGATGCATAATTTATAACGATACGATTACAGCATGGAATTTGATGTCATTCCAAAACTTTGTTTTGTTCAAATGATGAATGAAAATGTTTGATAATAAAATGTTCAAAGGTACAAATTATTATATAATAGAACCGAAACTGAGGTTTAACCTGCGCACATCTATAAAATGATTAAATTCTCCATTACAGTACCGTGTGATGGAAGATGCAAGGTGAATGCCTACTGTAGGACCTCAGATAACAAGTGTTACTGTAAATCTGGCTTTACTGGAAACCCGTATGTTGGATGTAAAGGTATGTAAATAAAGAAACATGAAAACGTTCCCGAGGTTAGGTAATTGCCACCAAGCACTTGGTGTGTTTTGCGCCTAAATTGGATATGAAATTACGTTTAAAACAACAGTTATCGTATATCGTTTTTCGTATTAAAACAGAAACGTATATGTTTATGTGCCCAGGCATAATTCTAAGTATTTGCTGTTAAGAAATATTTATGTTTCAGTCCCGTGTTATGGTAAATGCAAAGCGAATGCCTACTGTAGGACGTCGGACAACAAGTGTTACTGTAAATCTGGCTTCATAGGGAACCCGTATGTTGGATGCAAAGGTAAGCTTATAACTCCAATCTAACAAGTATCCGGATTCCTTTATTCTAATAAACGTTGTAGAATTTTATTTCGTAATTGTTTTCTGACCTCTGGCAGCACTTTTAATGATACGATTACAGAACAGAATTTGATGTTATTCCAAAACTTAGTTCTGTTGAAGTGATCAATGAAAATGTTTGAAATAAAATGGTCAAAGGTACAAATCATTCTTTAATAGAATCGAAACTGAGTTGAAATCTTCACAAATATACGAAATGATTTATTACTTCATTGCAGTACCGTGTGATGGAAAATGCAAGACAAATGCCTATTGTAGGACCTCGGACAACAAGTGTTACTGTAAATCTGGCTTTACTGGGAACCCGTATGTAGGATGTAGAGGTGAGCTTTAAACTTTCAACAAAGATATTTTCATTTAACAAAGTTTG